TATTAAACCTAAAAACGAATGTTATAATAGAATCAAGAAATATGGAGTTCTTTGAGAATGTATTGGCAATAAGAAATTCTTAAAATGAAACTTAATTAGACATTCCAACTTATAAAGAATCACAAGGGAATACATCTACAAGAGATGTTGAAAGTGAACCTCGAAAAAGTAAGAGAGTTAGAAAAGAAAAAAGTTTAGGATCTGATGAATTGGATTCCCAACTTATTTTATTTTACCTAGTAGAGGGAGATAGGAAGGATATTGCATGAACAATTCCTTTTGTTATTCAAGTTGAAAGTGATCCTAAAACCTATAAGGAAGCAATGATTTCTGGAGATTGTATATTTTGGAAAGAAGCAATAAATAATGAGATGGATTCTATTATTTTAAACAACACTTGGGAAATAGTTGATTTACCAAAGGGTTCTAAATCTATTGGTTGTAAATGGGTGTTTAGAAGGAAATATAATTATGATGGAACACTCAATACCTATAAAGCTAGATTAGTAGCTAAAGGGTATCATAAAAAAGAAGGAATAGATTACGTTGCACATATGTACCTGTGGCTAGAATAATCTCGTTAAGGATCTTATTTGCACTAGTATCTATAATGATTTACATGTTCATCAAATGGATATCAAGACGGCATTCTTGAATGGAGATTTCGAGGAGGAGATCTATATGGAACAACCAGAAGAGTTCATTTTACCAGGAAATGAACAAAAGGTGTGCAAACTAATCAAATCCTTATATGGATTAAAACAAGCCCCTAAAAAGTGACACAAGAAATTTGACTTCAAAGTAATGTCAAATTGTTTTAATTATAACTCGGTAGACAAATGTCTACATACCAAAGTCAGTGATAATATACTCACTATAATATGTTTATATGTTGATGATATGTTGATCATTAGCAACAGTGTAGACGGTATCAAAGAAACGAAAAGGTGTGCAAACTAATCAAATCCTTATATGGATTAAAACAAGCCCCTAAAAAGTGACACAAGAAATTTGACTTCAAAGTAATGTCAAATTGTTTTAATTATAACTAGGTAGACAAATGTCTACATACCAAAGTCAGTGATAATATACTCACTATAATATGTTTATATGTTGATGATATGTTGATCATTAGCAACAGTGTAGACGGTATCAAAGAAACGAAAAAATGAAAGATCTTGGATAAGTGGATACTATCCTTGGTATCAAACTTAAAAATGATAGTAGGGATTTTACATTGATTCAATCACATTATGTTGAGAATGTGAGAAATAAGTTCAAACATTTGAACATTAAAGAAGCGAATACCTCGTTTGATCCAAGTATCAAATTAATAAAGAACGATGGAAGAGCAATAGCTCAAATAGAATATGAAAGTGCAATTGGAAGTCTTATGTACGCTGCACAATATACAAGACCTGATGTATCATTTGCCGTGAGTAAACCAAGTAGGTTTACTAGCAATCTGAGTTCCGAACATTGTAAGGCCATCGGTAGGGTTCTTGGTTATTTGAAGAAAACCAAAAACCTGGACTACATTATACAAGATTCCCTATAATTTTGGAAGGATATACTGATGCAAGTTGGATATCGAGTGTAGAAGAAAATAAGTCCACTTCAGGGTTAGGTCTTTACTCTTGGAGGAGGTGCGATTTTTTGGAATTTGTTGCATTCGCCGAAACAGGAAAAGAAGTTAAGTGGCTAAGAGATTTATTATATGAAATACCTTTAGATATAAAGGATATTTCTTTGTACCTATATTGTGTGATAGTCAAGCTATTCTTTCTCAAGCTTATAGCGAAGTACATAATGGAAAATCTAGACACGTGAGTCTAAGACATGAGTATGCAAGGAAATTAATCGAGCATGGAATAATTCTCTTACATTTGTTAAGTCTAGTGTAACTTAACAAATCCCTTTACTAAACCTCTCATGAGAGAGTTAGTGAGATCGATATTAAATGGGATAAAACTCCTTAAATAAATCCATCAATGATAGCAACCCTACCAAAATATACTAAACAAGTATATTTAAGTTCAAGGGGTAATAACAAGTCATTCGATAAGTGGATGGATTTCAACACTATTAAAATTATTAAACCCTTCGTTGATAAATAATGTTGGTTGTTACTGTTGGAGGGATGAGTTATAATTAAAACTCTTAATGAAGTTCAGTAAGGAGTACAAGTATCTCTAAAAGTAACAAAGATACTCGAAGAACCTCATCTATGTGAACTTCGAGGTGGTATCGCCCCCATTAGAGAGTTGGAGTTTTCTCTCTTTAAAAGTTCAAAGATATTAGATAAGTAAAATGTCATATTAGCACTAAGCGAGTTAGAGGAACTTGTGAAATTTAACACTTATGTGTGTGATTTCATCGGTATTGTCACAAGGAATAACTGCTTCAAAGCGTTCTATCTACTTGAAATTTCGATAATGCTTTATGAGATTTACACTATGGTTAGATTCAAATCGAAAGATATCTAACTCTTATGGATAAGTGTTTGTATTTGATTATGTGATTAGCATAGATTTTGAACAAATGAGGGATTGCTGGTATTGTTGTTCAAAATCATGAAATAACCATGGATGAATGAATTTGTAAAGAAGAGGAAAAACCAACCTTGGTGCCATAAAAATGGCCTATACGACCGCATAGGCCATATTGGCATACGGTTGCATAGGCGACTGTAAGGAATTTTGGGGGCTGCACTGCTTCGTGTAATAGTAAAGTCCGACCGTTATGTTGGATTTTTTCGAATTTTCTGCTAGTGTTATGGTAAAGCATTGCACATCTTTTTCTTGTGTTGAAACCAATTCGTGTAAGAATGATTGAAAACTATAAATACATGTTAGTTTTCATTCTAAAACATGTGAAATTATCACATTATTCACCTATAAATTCTGGTCAAATTTGGTTGCTTCACATAATCATTCCTACATTTTCACTTGTTCTACTTGAAGAATCACTTTACTTTTGGTGTTCTTCATTCAAGGCTTGAAAATCTTACAAACTATTTGCCAATTTTAATCTTTAAAAGCATAGAGAAGGAATCAAATATCGTTTGAGGACAACTATTTCATTTCGTGATCAAGTATTGTTTTGATATTATTATTCATATTCAAATTCATATTCTTCTCCAGTTTTCTTGGTTTCCATTGCTCTCATTCATACTTTTATCCAACAATCGATATTGTTCTTAAGCAAAACAAAAATACAAGAGAAAGAGTTGTTAAATTTGAAAGTCCACCGAAGTATTTATCAAGTACTACATCCATACATAGGTGAACTAGACTATCTTAAAAAATAAAAAATAAAATAAAATAAAAAATATATATATCGTTTTTATAGTGTCTAGTACTACAAGTAAACATGCCTCGTGTTTCTATAGTTTTCGTTCATGGTTACAGAAAGAGTAGTGTGGTGCATATCTAAAAAATGTACACATATTGAGTTTGTTTATTTTGAAAATGAAAGACCATTCTTTCATATAATGAGTTTGTTTTGAACCTTACCCTTATAATTATATTGCTATTTGCCTCATTGCAGAAAGACCACTTAGATATTTATGTAACAGACTGGGATTCTTCTTGAATTTTGGAACTTCTTTGAGGGCTTCAACGTAGTCGGGTGGTAACTTGCCAGTTTTTGTAAACAAGAGCAATCGAATGCAAACGGTCTCTACACAGAGGAATCTTCGTCTTTAGTTGAGGGTCGGGAAGATGCGACGGAAGGTCGTGTTCTTTCATCTCGACCTGCTGGTGGAGTGGCTGCAGAAGAGGATATGAGTATTGCAGTTGTAATGAAAGTGATAACGTCCATCTGCTCTGTTCACCAATTTTATTTTATTTTTATTTGGTGTATGCTGCCCTTCATGGTTAATTTAGTTGCCTCAAAAACTTAGGTATTGCATTCAAATTGCAGTTATTAATCATATTTATTGCGACTTAAAAGATCTACTGCTACTCTCTCTAGACAATCTCATCTTTAATACTATCAATTGCCATTAGGATTTTGAATAGCTTTTACTTCTTATAGAAAAGTTTCGTGAAGAAATCATCTTGGATAAGCTTCTAGTATTTTTAGAAAATTATTTAAATATTTTTTATATAACTTTTGAAAAGTCAAAAGAATGTTTTGAGATTAAAAAGCTGCTTTCAAATCCATTTGGCCAATTTTATAGAAGTGTTTCTTCTAGTTAAAAAAGTATTTAAAGTAACTTCTAAAAACTTTTTTGGAAGAGGCAACTCTCTAAAGAAATTAATTTTCAAACATAAATTAAAGTAATTTTTCTTAAAAGCTTTTACAACAATTAAAAGTAAAAATTTTGTCAAACAGGTCCTAAAAAATTCGAAAGTAACTTCTTCACTTTTCAAAAGTCAAGTCAAATGGGATGTGATTTCTTACTTGAAATACCAGAAATAGTGTAATAATAAGACTTCTAAAATGATGTAAGCATGTAGGAGTTAAAAGACACTTTTTACAGCAGCTAGTGTTCAGTTTCATTTTTTCAAGACACAATAACTCGACTACCGGGAGTTCTACTCAAAAGAAAAAAAAAAAAATTGGAAAATCAAAATTTACTTTCACAATAAAAATGAAAAAAAAAAATTCTGCCAAGGTCATATTTGCAACGTCTACAAAGATCAATCTACCATATACTACTGCAGTAAGTCCCCACAGTTTTAATTTTTATTTTTTCAATTTTTTTTCCCTGCTATAAACAACAAACAGCCACAAAATCGAGGGGAAAATTAGATGAAATTTTCGTCCTCGACGCTGGAAGCAACATTCATTATCGTCAGCTCGGCTCGAAGTAAACTCCATTTTCTGCCAATTGCCTTGTCACTAAAAGAGAAGTCATATTGGGGAGTACTTGATCCTATCTAAAATGACTCGCTTTACAACAGCAGCAGAAGCTACAGGAGAAACAGCGATGAAGGGGGTCGAATGCAACTCTTGCGTCGACCAAAGAATCAACACTGAAGCTATCGCCCCACTCATATAGAAGTATAGTTGGAGAAAAGGGCCATCAAATTATCTAAAGTTTCAGGCAAGAATTTCCTAGCAAACAAGTAACATGGCCGTTGATTTCCATTCCACAAGCAAGGTCTAATCTGAATTTCCTTCTGCAGCACAGAACAAAAATAAAAAATAAATTATAAAAAAAAAAAAAATGAGAAACCAAATATACCATAACTTAACGAAGAATAGTTTTTTTCACCAATGACACTAACCCTTTTGTCGCTTGTAACATGCACACTATCTACAATAGACTGCAAAAACAATTCAAAGCTTCATTAGTTAACTCACAAAAAAGTACCATTTTGCTCTCTGCAAATCTACATAGTAAGGCCAGAATACCAGATCATGATTCTTTGGGACCAATAATTTTAAATGATATAATTAATGATAAGATAATTTGAGATGGTATAATGAAAAATATACTACAAAATACAATTTTGATCTCTGCAAGTCTAAATAGTGAGGCCACAATACCAGATCAGTATACGTTGGGACCAAAACTTTTCAATGATAAAGTTCTATCTATAAGATGGTATATTGAAAAATATACTATAAAGTACCATTTTGTGCCCTTCAAAGGCACATATTGAGGCCAAAGTACCAGATCATGATTTATTTTGACCAATAATATTCGATGATTTAGTTAACTATAAGATAATTTGAGAATGTATATTGAAAAATATAAAATAAAGTACGATTTAGCTCTCTGCAAGTCTAAATATTGAGGCCACAGTACCAGATCATGGTTTATTCAGACCAATTATTTTCCATGATATAGTTTAGTATAAGATAATTTGAGATGGTATATCGAAAAATATACTAGAACTCTCATAACAGGACAAAAAATGGAAGCTATAAATGGAAATGATATAATGTTTGGGAAGAGGAGAGCCATACTTTAATTTTCCTCATTAGATCATAGGTAACATCCTGTGATCGATATGATTTTGGATGCCACTTCCCTTCAGACCAATCAACATGTGTAACAGACCAATTTGCAATTCCAGCGGGATCAAGAATCTGAAACAAGGAAAAGATATTCCCTTAAAATTATCTGAGGTGGATTATACGAAATAAAGTAGATATAAACAATCCTCACATGGAAAAATGTCGGTAAATAGTGTTCATCAGAATAGCAGTTCCGTCCATATTCCATGCCTGGCTGTTTAATCAAAAGATACAGATGTCAACAGTGGTTCAAGGTAAAAGTATATACTAAAGGGGAAAAAGCAAAATGCTAGGAGGGACACTTCTCAAGCATGTGTCTACCACACCACCTAGTGTGTCTGGTAGATGTCCTAAACAAGTCAAGGGCATGACAAGCTCCATTTTTCTTAATTTTGAATATAAATTTAAAGAAAATTTCAATCATTTAAATATTTGCATAAAGTCAGAATAAATTAACTTCATGTTGAATTTGTTTTATATCGACTATGGGCATTTTTCTTTCATTGGTAATATTTTGACTAATACAACCCAAACTCATATCAGTAACAATAACAATAAATAGTGATTCCTCTAGTTCAATAGATTCCAAATTAAATCAAAGCTAAAAAAGTATAGAAAATCATAAAAATAAAAGTATAATTCGTAAAAAGTAAAATTTCAAGAATTTTAATCAATCTGTCTGGTTCTACTTTTTGGGGACCGAAATGTCATCATGTTCACGTGCGTGACCGTGTCCGTGTCCCAAGTCCGTATTGTGCTAATGTGCTTTATAGGATAATAAATAATCACGCACAAGCAAAACAACATGCTTTTAAGTATCTAAAGTCACTTTCGCCTCCCCACCTTATTCTATCCCCCTAATTGCAAAAATAACCTCAACCTCTAAATAAAATAAAATAGTAATAAACCTCATATGTTATAGAGAAATATTTACATCCATTAGACGACATTGAAAGCAGAATAACATGACCTTTTTCCTGAATTCTTTGTTGTCTTAACCACGTTTCCTACTTTTGTTCACTTATGAAAACAGTTCTCTGAAGGGATTATAGAAGCACGTTGCAAAACACTGAGAATGGTTGGTACCTTATAAGCCTATCACTTTGAGACCCATATAATCCATCAGATGATGTACAAAATGGTCACTGACTCACTGAATTGATGATCAATTGTTTGATGCCTAAACAAAACCATAAATGCAGTATTGCTTTTGCTCAACGGATTATAAAATACTTAGGACACTATTAGTCTAGGTCAATACTACTCGAAGATGTATTCTGACCAGTTTATGCTTGAGAAAGAATCAAATTATCCAAAAATAAATGAAATTAAATAAAGGAACTATTGAAGAAGAAAATTACAGTGCCAGAAAAAAAAAATATAATAAGCCAAAATGTTTATCACAAGGAAGTGAGGAACTATAGAAGAAGAAAATTACAGTGCCAGAAAAAATAAATATAATAAGCCAAATTGTTTATCACCTTGCAATAAATCCTAAATTTCGTATAGTAGAGACTGTCCGCCATGATTATAATAGCATGTTGCCGCTTCATTGTGAACCACTGCAATGTCCATAAAGAAACAAATCATAATAAGAGAATCTAAACGTGCTGATGCTGAGCAAGCTACAGTTAGGTTTATTTGACAACAATGCAGATGTACCATGTTTAAGTAATCCGTGGAGAACTTGTAAATTTGAAACCGTGGGCATAGAACCAAATTAATTCATTCTTTTTTTCCCAGAAACGTCATAGAAATTGTTGTGCTCATACATCATTTGTGAAACCAACAAAGCAAGATAGTGCATGTCTTCTTTATTTATTTATTTATTTATTTTCACTGTGGGTAAGATAAAGTTGGCAATCAAAATCTGATATACGGAAATAAAAGGTGGTCTAATAAGGAATGAACAATATGATCTTCCCTTTTTTATTATCCATTTTTTATTTGAAAACATTAGAAATGATTGTCAAGCTCTGGAATTTTCACAAACAATTAACTGTATCAAAATATAAAACCGCACCTGTGCACCCTTTCGAAAATCTTTCTTCTCAACTTCGGGTAGCATGCGGTCAGAATACCTTCCATTTCCATGAGGACCAGGATCCTCAAAGCTGCAAACAATGGGATTGGTGGTTATTTCTCATACTTATATTCAAATGAGGTGACTAAAACTATCATAATCCTAATAAACTAGCATATTGAACCTCTGAAACTTGATTTTCTTTAATACAACAATCATAAAGAGAAAAGGCAATATGCATTATATTTCCATTTATCTTCCTTTAGCAACAGCCTTCAAGTAAAATTATGAGCAATTTTTAATAATTCTCAAATTTATTTATTTTCTTAAGGAACGGCATTTGATAAAGAAAACTGCATATGTTCAAGTAGAAGTTTTTGGTAAAGTTCATTTTTCAAAATTCTATGTCAAATCTGTCATTTAAAATAATCAGCATGAATAGGTTATAAAGCTGATCCAGAGCCTCTTTCCATGCGCTTATTTACTTAAAAGTATAGTTAGTAAAGTTTTTTTTAAAGCCTAGCCAAATGAGGCTCCGATCTATTGCCACCCACAAAGAAATACTTGCAGTCCAGAAACAACAGGCTTACCTGTCTACAAAGCTAACATTTGTGTACAAGAGATAGTTGTACACATATTCAAAATTACGAAGTGGTATGCAACTGCAGTTCATGAAAAATGCTTAATCAGCAACCAATTAGTTAAATGAGTTCCCAAAATTGAAAAGGAAATGGACATGGCAATGGCATGATCGTCTAGTCACCTGTCAGAAAGCAGTACAAAATGCTGGTTGTCGTGATCTTTGAGTGCATTTGCTAAAAGACGTTTTTCTGCATCTACCATCGATATTGTTCCCCATACTACCTGCAAAAATAAATTATTACAAATGTTCAGCAGAAGAAAATGTCAGGACTACCAGCAGGGGTAGGAGTTTCCACCCAGCCAGGATATAAACACATAAAAAATCACAAACATAATGCACATAAATATCCTAGGGGAAGCATGGCCACTAATTGCACGACATAACAAGATCTAAGCAATTAGGTTGTGGAAGGATCATTAGCTCCGACATTCAAAATAAACTCAAGTCTTAAGTTAAAGTAGCGTCAATGGTTTGTTTCCATATTAGATTGTCTCCACTGAATTCAGGATCAAAAAACATATTAAGTCAAAATATTTTCCCGACACATTCAATTTCATAAATCTAACAAGTCCACCAATCATATGCAGTTCCTTGGATGCAATACAACCAAATACAGCACTAAGAGCTGTGCCACAGACAGTAGAACCCAACCATCCCCATGCCCTTCTAACAAAATTTACCACATTGATAAGAAATAACAGCCTAATCCATGAAGGTTTTCCAATATCCTGTGAATGTTTCCCATGAACTGCTTAATCTTCAACGACTTCAGCATTGAACGTTGAAACAATCCTCAAAAAGAATCAAAGAAGATTTCACAGAGTCGATGGCACTCTGGCACTATAAGTGGAATTTAAACTTTAGCATATGATGTAGCAAGGAAAAAATATGACAACATCTAGGAAAATGATAGACACGAGGTTCCTCATACAGTTGTGTATGAAGACCCAACTTAGAAGCATATTGAAGGACTTGACCTGAATTCAGACCCTTGGAACTTTATTACGCAACAGAAAATAGACAGATATAAAGAAAGATAAGAAACTACAGCATTCCCCAGGGAAATAATCCTTCATTCAAATATCCAACAATATTTTGGACACGGTGGACATATAATCAGGTGACCCACAGTAAAATTTTGCAAAAGAAGACATGCAGAGAAGAGTCAATAACTTCAAAATAATAATAACAAAAATTAGAAACTCTGAGCTTGATCTCGTAACATGAACATTTAACACAATAAACAAGCACGTAAGAAAATATACGTTCATCATGGCCCAAATTAATAAGCTAGTAAAATACTACGAACCCCTTAAACGCTCTTATTAACTTAGATAAATTAAACCATAAAATAAGTTTGGCAAGGAGATATAAACCTTTTCACTGCGAATCTCCCGATCGAAAAAGTAACGGCTGAAATGCACTGGTTTGTCTTTTGACGCATGAACATAGACAGAGAATTTACCTTCATGGCCCTGCCAAATAAATAGAAAAAATTGACTAAAATTTGGGCAAATGGAGGATAATAATTGCCGTTCAATCTAAAATTACAAACAGGAATGCCAAATACGTGCATAACACATAAGAAAAATTAAATCCCACCCTTCCCCTCAAAAAGGACCAAACCTGATTATTCAATCCTTTCCTTTAGGCTGAGAATTTCAGGTTCTCATTTCTTAGATCAGGGTTACTTTAAATAGACTTGATCTTGTGATTAAAAATTGTGAGGCCATTTAATATCCCTTCGAATTTTTAATGAATGCTAATTTCATTTTCACCATCTTTTGTCTTGTGGTTGATCTGTCTTAACCCCCTTCAGAATCTCTCTCCTTACATTTTTTTTGGCAGTCTTACTTATCACAATAAAATCAACGTTTGCTAAGTCTATTATTCAACTACAGAACTTGGTTGTGATCCCCATAGAATGTAAAAACTAAAAACATAAGACCAAACTATAGTCTATACAACACTCATCCAGAAAGATGGTGCTTCAAAGCATCATTTCAGGACCAGACATGCAGATACTTGAACAAGTGAGATGCGAGAAAATATCTGCAGATACCTAGCCACATAAAATTCAACACCCTTCTGTAGTACTGGCCATTCATAATTTTGCTCCTGGTATCAGCTAAATAACTTATTAGGGTATGGCCAGAATAGATACATATCGGCAGGTACTGTGGTGGATAATGGGTAAAGCTTAACATCACAACACCACAAAAAGGAAGCACCTTCAGTCCATGAGCCTAGAAAATGAAGTCAAATGAAGACTTTCTTTCCTAGCCTTTTCATTTTGAAACAACTTTTCCTCAATATTTTCAGCAACCAAGCACACCAAAAGTCAATGTTAGGTGGCAATTCACTCTATTTGTCCTCCTTTTTGTCTTGTTTTCCTATTTTCTGAACGCATATCATTCAATCCTACTCTAGAATTTTCAAATCATGTTGTCCTTAGCCAAAAAGATAGGCTCAACAATCACTGGGTCTATGGGATAAAGAGCTCAGATAAAAAACATCGAAAAGGATATTCAACTATTCAAGAGTCCAAGTCAAGCATCGAACTGACTATCAACGGGATTGATCCTCTTTTTCTTTTTTTTTGTGATGGACAAAGGGCAGACAATTGCAGTTAATAAGTTTCCAAACTCTGTCAGTAATACCTACGATTTATACTAATCAAAAGATCCACGAAAAACTGCTTCTTTGATGGTATAAGAAGATTTTAAAGCATATAAAGATTTTTGTGATCTGGTAAAACATTTCATATCCTTTTAGTAAGAATGTTTCTAAGTTCATATGGTGCTTATGTGCAAGGCAAAATCTATTGTCTTCTACAGAGTAGCTACAATTTGCAAAGGCTCAGATACATGCAAATCTTTTTAATCATACATCCATTGCATAATGAAAATCATATAATATAGCTATACGCGCTATAAAACTTAATCACTCTACTCAAGCACTATAATATTCCCACAATAAAATTTGTCATCATATCCAATGAATCAGGAGTAAATTATTAATGGGCACAAATCAGGCAACTTAAGGTCAAGTCCTATCAAAACTCGTGGCAATATCTTTCTAACATGATCAATATGTAAAGAATGATTCTGTATGTCCGAATATAATCACTCCAACGCACTCTGTTTGCACAAAATTTGGTTTTATCAATTTACAAAAGTAGCACAGAATTAGAAATATTATCAGAAAAAAACAATTATACGAGATCTAAAGAAGATCAGAGATTTTATCATAAAAGAAAAATGTACCTGAAAAAATTTATCCCACAGCTTCTCAAAAGGTAAAGCACCTGGTGTCAGAAACATGAATGCTATTTTGGGAGTCTTAGGTATAACAGGCGGCGTATCCAGAATATCCCTAATTACAACACGAGAAGCAATTTCATCATCGGTGAGTTCTCTTGAGGGAGCTGGTGGAAGCCAGTTTTGCATTGTCTTGCAACCATTAGATGAGGACACATAGCAGGCAACAGAATTGTGAGGTGGATACAAATAAACACAAACTAAGAACAAACTAACTAAAGAAACCAATACGATAATCCATCTTGGCTTCTTTAAATGATTGCGGTGGCGAGGCGGAGGCAATATTTGCATGTCTTTCATGCCTAAACGACACGCCTGAGCTGTCTTCATCTAGAAACAATGCATCACAGGTTAATCTCCCACAAAAATTGAGATACTTTCAGAAGCTCGCCTCAAGTAGAAAATGTGATTTAGTATCCCTGACCTATCTGCCTAAATCGGGCCTCAACCAGTGAATTGAATAAGAGTTCAATAAGAATCTGAACCTGCAAAGCAGACAGAGCCTGACAATATAATTTCACCAACATTAATTAAGAATGTCTTAAATAAAAATGAGGCCTAGTTAGCAAAACTATCAATTCGCACCAAAACTCCAATCCAAGTAATCCACTACCCATATTTAAGATTCTTTAATAAAAACACTCTAGCTTGAATATGGACTGAAGAAGAAGCAAAATAAAGGGGAAATCAAACAATGTCCAACGTAAATGCCCAAACTTTACATCCCCAATGTTAAGAACTAAAGTAAATAAAATTGAAATAAGATCAAGAATCACTTTCATGTTTCTAAAGCTGTCCCAGACCAACAAGAACCCCAGAACCTCATGGCAACCAAAAAGTCAACCAAGACCCGGCAGTCTGAATCAAATTCACAATGAGTAAAGTAAACCTCTTCAAATCCCAATTGCAATCCACACAACACACATCATAAACAACCCATATTAAATTCCAATTCTATGGATGTACATACAATTAAATGCAGCCTCATAACAGCATTCAATGTACAAATCAGACCCAATAAACGTTTACAAATACATATCTCCTAAGTAGATAAAAACAACAAGCATTACCAAAAGATTAATCACTGGGAGAGCTGGAAAAGAGATGAAGAAGCTGAATCTTAAATCAAATGGATCTGTATATACAAATATAGCATGTATATATGAGATCCATCAATAATAGAACCAATCAAAGCGAGGATGGCAATTCTGTATGCAATTGAATCTAATAATTAAATATACTCTAATCTTTATACATGGACAGATAGGATAAAAGTTACTTATATAGAATATGGATACAGATATATAGATAGATATATTGTGTGTGTACGTATAGAAATGAACGTTGTTTGGGTCTGTCCAAGAAGCCGGCGAAGTTTACAATTTCAAAGATAGATTTGTATTTGGTGAGGAGTGGACCCCAATCGCCGGTGAAGCGCGTAGAGATGACAAATTGGGATAGTCGCCCAATTGTTTTCGGCCAGTTTTTCGCTTGCTAGAAAAATCGACGACCGAGAAAATTACACACAATTAGTTAATTATTTATTGGGTTATTGCAAAAAACCCCTAAACGTTGCCCCTATTACAGAATACCCCCTATTCTTTCATTTTGACGAAAAACCTCCCTACATGACCTTTGAGGTACGAAAGAGCTCATGTCGTCCATCCCATTAATGATGCCACTAAATCTACTTAAAAGAAAATTGAATAATTGGTGCAAAATCTGTGACCTTGGTCTCTACCGTGAAATACACTCTATCCTTTTAGATTGATATAGGGATGGCAAAAACGTTAGTCGACTCAGGCTCGGTCCAAAAAAAGTCGAAAGCCCCAGTCGGTCCCAGCTCGAGCTCGGGTTCACGGAGCCGAGGCTCGGGCCGGCCCGTGACTAAATAATATTAAAAAATAAAAAAATTTTAATTTTTTACTTTTTCTTTTAAGTTTAAATGTGTTTATATATATATACAGAAATGATCTAATGAGCACCGGTGCTCAT